ACTCCACCAGCGCTATGAGATTCGGATCTGATGAAAAGCTTCGTACCACTTCTATCTGGCATATAAGAAGAAAAAAATCACAACATAATTTCTTGTTTTGCAAATTTGAGTACCCAAGACGGAAAGTACAGTGCACATCACCATCAAATACGATGCCGTAATATAAAGATTTTTGCAGCACAGTTCCATTAAAATATTAAAACACACCTTAGTTTAGCTGGATATTATCATGAAAAGCAATACAACAAGCGACTTAGTATGAACAATTCTAAAGTACCTTTCAAAATGAATAAGCTTTAAATTATACTCTTAAAATTTTAACAGGAAGGAGACCAAGTCGTAAATGCAAACAGGTCTCAGAAAAGTGGGAGCTACACAGCTTAACGTGTGAGCAATCAATAGTTTTGTTTCAACGAAGCGGTTTCTTACCTGGTCTGTTTGGGCAGAAAATGTCTTGGCAAGAATGTTTCGATAACCCTGGAGAGAGGACAGCAATGTTTCAGCAAAGTTAATTCTCCAGACATGTTTGCTGTTTATCATTAATTCTAGAGAATTCAAGACGCTTGCACAATAAAGCTTTCCACAAATTTTAAAATTCATCTGAAATTTTCAAGTCGATGAAGCTCAGATCATGTCAGATACGACATTGCTCATAGCTGAGACGCTTGTACGAATGGGACCATTAATATATCTCCAGTCGGGCTTTTTTTCAAATTTCAAATTACACCTGGCTGGATGAAACTTTGTAAGATAACGAAATACAGAATGCCTGTTGAGGACATACTTCAATTAAGAGTCATTTTATGCACTAAGTACCTGTGGATCGTCGGCATAAGATAAAAAACCCGTTCTTCTTTTAACAAATAAAGTTCCTTGACTGGCAGTTAGTAGACTGAAAAAAAATAATAATAACAACTACAACAAACAGTTAAAAAACAGGAAACAGCAAAAATGAAAAAGAGAATTTGAACATCCACAGATTGGTACTTCGTCTACTTACTAAAACTATTAAAGCAAGGATGAGAGCAAACAACAAACTCTATTCCAACATCTTTTCAGTTGACTAAGGGACAAGTCCTTATTCATCACGGAAGGAGGAGGGGAGGGGGGTGGGGAGGGTATTGGGGGAGATCTACTGGTTCTCAGGGAGAACAGAGCGGGAATCAGGGGGGAATGTGGGAAATCGGCTCTGGCCAATGGAAAGGGGATAAAAAGAATATTATAGCCTCATAGGGGGGATCAGGTAAATCGTGACACAACCAAATTCCTCCAACTCCTGTAAATGACTAATCAGAGAGCTTTTCACAGTTTTACTCTGAAAAAAGTCTTACCTAAAAGAGTCGTTGCTTTCCGTCAAATCGATTGTGATTGGCCAATAACGCAACCCCGAAACACATATCTAGAAAAAGAGGCAAAAACGTCAAATGAGTATAAAATTGTTGCGACTCTAACGGAGGAATATAGTCTTAAAAAATAACGTCAGTTTAACAAGGAAATAAAGTGGGTTTTTTGTCTTTGCAAAGTTATTCCCGGTCAAAGATCTAAGCAAAGCCCAGTTTCGAAATCAAAGATACCCTGAAAGGTTCCCTTAAAATAACTGACGCTCCCCGAGAACGCTTCAAGTTCTTTTAGCTTTGACCTTGAAGACGTAAGAGAATGTACACGCCTTCTATAGGCTCAGTGTGACTTGTCAAGACTAGTAGCCTTAACAAACAAGTTGTGTGTTCAAGTGTGTGTTTGCCGGCCTACCTTTCTGATAAGCTGCAATTCTGGTAGAATGCAAGGCGCGGTGAGTTTTAAAACTGTCTCTGGGTAAAACTGCGTTTCCTGAAAAAAAGTTAAGATGGTGAGCTTAGAATCTCTGGGAATTTTAATATGAATAAAATTGAGGAAGACATGAAAAGGACAAAATAAGAACTAAAAAACCGTGGATGGAAAAGTGTTGTCAAAATCAGATGCCATGTTATCCTGACACAATATGATACAAACATATTTTAGATACATTTTATGCAGTTGTATTTCCCATACGAAAACCATGAGATTCCCCCAAAAATACTACGACCCACCCCCTCCCTGGACGGTATATGACTGGTTCCTAACTATTCGAAAATATGTTTGATATCGAAGGTGACAGGAAACAAAGGAAACTAGAAAAGAAACAGGACAAGCCTGTCTATTCGTCCCCTTCGTTTCGATACCCAAACCCTCGCCATTGCAGCTAAATTTTAATAGATCGAAGGTGGTTTAAGTAAAGGCCTCGCCTTGAGCGTGACTTCAAGAGGAACATGACAGGCTTTGTTTGTGTCCACTTCACGAGGAACAAGGACTCGAGGCTCGGCTGCAAGTACGTACAAATGTCTGAACGCCTGCAGGTGGTACCTACAAAAATCAGAACAGTTTTCGACCATTTAAGTTTGGTATTTCTGTGTGCTCCTTGCTAAGAACCAAGAGAAAAGATAATTAGTCTGGGAAGTAGATAAAGAGGACATAAAACTAACTGCAACTTTACTCCTTCCTAGTGGCCAGTACCCTAATCGAGAGGTCTGGGTTTGGACTGACCTGGTCAATGTGTTGTGTCCTTAGACAACCCAAGTTTATTAACACATAATATCTGTTATTGCATCAGCTTGAAAATGTTGGTCCACAGAATCCTCTAGTAGCTAGATCCTATCCTTCATACAGTGGCCTTCCCACAGTTGGATATAATGCTACAGTGCCTCCTGCAGGGTAGGGTGGAGCGTCACACCCTGCTCCCCCTACGTGTTTCAACTCCTCTGTTGTTCAAGGAATAGCACCACACGAGATGTCTTTCAAAAATGTTAACTTACTGAAGGTCGAGAGGTGCGGATTTGAGCTCTGGCTAGGGTATTTTGGTGTGTTCTGGGGCCATACACTCGCTATCGCGATGCCTCTCAGGATAATAACTGGGTACCGACAAAACTGTCAAAGAAGAGGCTGACGAAATGAGTCCATCTCAGGAGGACTGGCCACACCCCTGACCACTTTATGATACAAAAAGCTAAAATAAACTACAGCGATGCAGGTGATAAGGCTCCTCAGCATAAATCTAGTCTCTCAAGCACTTACCAGTGCTTATAGTATTTTTAACTTACCGGTTATCAGTGCTTGAGATTGGAAATCTAGGATAGAAGGCGCATATCAACGCAGCAATGGAAGGTCCATCGGTACTCAGAGTGAACCTGTATAACAATAATAAATGAACCTTACGGCGCTTTTTTAACTGAGTGTCAAAAAAAACCAAAGTACACAATGGCCGATCAGAACATAGATAAACAATACAACAAGGCAATGAGAGCGTAAATTGAACTCTTTTCACCAGCATGAAGCTTGAGGAAACGCCAACTATCAAATCACAGCTGGATTTAGTTTTGCATCAGACAGATTGAGGAGGTGGCGCGAGTTTTCTGGACCAATCAGTAGTAGTGAAGTGAAATGTACAATCTCGAGTTTCTTTCAACACTAAATTGACAATTGTTCAGTTTTGCAATTACGTTGCGGAAAAGTTCTTGAGGTAAACTGAATAATAAGCAAGTAATTCGGTTGATACCTTCCTGCACCCAAGAACAAAAGGCCGATTGCCATATGAACCGCCATGTGACTCCCATACGGAACATCTGGGGAATGTCTTTTACGCAGCTGTCGAGCGATCCTAAGCACATCGAGATTACCAGTTCCCGCCATCACCTGCGAGCCGAGAGAAAATTTTGGACCAAAATATGAAAATGCTATTTGACGAAGGGCTAGAATCAACCTTCATTGGTTAATTCACATCATCAACTCGGTTGGTACAAATAAATTTTCCTGTTATATCCCACCGACGCAGCACCACAATTTCTTTTAAAACCTACACCCCTGACTTACTTAGCGTTCGAGTGTTTTTATACCAGAATACCCCAAGAATTTGGGGCACGCAGCTAGTGTATGTTGACACACTGAACTCAGGATTGAAGGGTCCAGGTTCGAGCCCTGACCAAAGCCTGGACGCATATTTCCGAAGTCTACCGAGACGATCACGTGGCTATGTTTCTATGCAACTTTTACAAAACTTACCATAGCCAGCGATAAGAGGATTGTGTTGAGGCACGTTTCAACTGTAGGCTTCCCAGCCTAAAAGTACAAATCACACGGTAGTAATTTTAACAATTATCAAAACAAGTTTAATTCAGTAAGGCTGTAGAAGTAATCCTCTCAAGACTCCCAAGACATAGGCCACGTAAAGTTCGACTAAATTGAAAGGGAGACACAGAGACCCTGCACTTATGCCAGCTGGGATTTCTTCGCGTTACTGATGGAGGGCTGTGTCACGTCTTTCCATGACAAGTTCCTGGCGGCAGGGAGTTAAATTTTTACCGTTTCCCATTTTAAGAGAATTAACATTACAACAGTTGTTATATTGATCTTGGAATTGGGAATGATAAGCACCTGTTCCACTGCACTGTTGCTCAACAAATCTTTACAGTATTTAGTGTAATGCATCTGAAAAATAAACCATAACACAAAACTTGAAAATAATCTGCAACTGAGCTTTATAGAGATATGTCTCATCGTTTTAGACCACATAAATAACTTGATCGTGTATAAGCGTTTGGCATGAAAAGGAAACATGATGGCTTTGAGAGATAAAGTGAATGAAGATCTACTGGGCAAGGGCTGTTTGTCAGTTTCCATGATGACCTCCTTACTAAAAAGGAGATTGCTGCCCTCCTCTCGCAACATTTACGGACCCTTCCGTCTAAAACTGTTGCACAAAAGAACAAAACTTGACAGATCCTGGTAGATGTATCAAATAACATCATCGTGCAAATGGCCGATGGTAAGTTCCTTTCCTACACATACCAAACAGTTGAAGGCTTCCTGATTAGCGGAACCAGCAAATCTTAATCCCATGGCCATGCAGCAACCGGCAATGATATTGATCTTCGCCTGACTAGATGAAACGAAAAAAACGAAAGCGTTTTTATTTTTACGAAACGCGCCGCATAATTCGTCAGAGTAATTGGCCTGGCTCAGTAGAAAAGGTATATCGTGTGGTGTGATCTTCCTTAAAAAACACCGTTCCTGACAGTGATTGACATTTCATTTCGATAGAGCGATTTTCGATTCAATGTCGTAAAACCAAAACCAAAGTAATCATAACGTCCAATCAGGAGAGAGGAAAGTAAAACTAAACTATCTAAAGCGCGGGAAAACGCGGGTGACCGAGCCGTGATTTAAGTTTGCATCTGATTTGTCGCGAGAGTGGCGCGAGATTTCTTGACAAATCACAGAGCGAAGTAAGTGAAAACCAATGCAGCCTCGGATTACCATCGATGTCATTATCAGAGTCTAGAGGAGTTCAGATGTCACTATCAAAGTCTAAGGAGTCGAATGTTGTAAGTCGCTCAGGAAATTCATTTGCCACCACTTCCATGATGTTACCTGTCATAACAATACTGAAAAACTGACTAATCATTTTTCACGTACTGAAAAATGATTGCATTGTTCACATGGTACATTTTCCACACCTCTTAGCAATGAACTTGTTTTTTAAATAGGGAGGAATAAAGTGTTTACACAAGCGATCGAATAAGTAACCTTATTTCCCATTTTGCCTGTCTCGAATCAAAATTATACTAATTACGTGACCGATAAGTTGATATAGCAGAGACTTAACGCTTCTGAAAGGACAAAAAATACCACCACCTTGGCTCAAAAGACAATGTACGAGGTCAGCATCCGTCGGTTATCGAAAAAAGAGTAGTTGGCGTTATTGTGAATTTTTCTTGCGACTTGTGCGTAGTATCACAAGCTAACTGGGCAAGAACTTTTAAAGTGGACTGCATCTTAAGGAATATTGCAGCAGTTAATTAAAGATTTAAGAATAAAGATTACAGCACAAAATACATCTGGATTTAAAGCTTGAGCATTTTTCATGGTGGACCGTGCTATTCGCTTAAGTCATAAACTTTAGCAACTCAAGTCTCGCGCATATCTCGCTAGAGGAAAAAAAAACGTGAAAACACAGCACAGAAATAAATAAGAGATAATTACCTCAGACTTTCCATGTCGATGTCTGAGTTCGCTGCTTCATTTTCAGCCAAAGTGGTATCGCACTGATGAACAATCTAGCAAAAATAAATAAATAAATATACCTCATGAGCTAAAATAGCAAATTATGTGACCTGAGACCAGGTTCAAACGGCGAACTCTACATGTGCAAACGATCTACCTATTTGAGTCCACCCAAATGATTACTTCGGCAGCTGATGCAAATGTTAGACTATTTCACATGTCAAACCACGAGATTATAATCTTTTGCTCAAACTTAATTTGCGGCAAGATCTGAACGATATTTTCCAGCAGCATACCTTGTGGGAAGAATACGTACGAAGAATACGAATACGAATATGAATGGTTAGCAAACAATTTCTTCGCTGTGATAAAAATTTGAACAGTTTTTGAAGTGTCCACCAGTCTTGCTCTCTTCTCATTCTAAATTCAATTAATGCCTTTTAGCTTCTGTTCTAGTTCTTGCATCCGTACATAAATTCGAGAAAGAAACATGGGTATATGCTCTTTATACAAGCTGTCATGACGTTTAAACCTCTGTACCGTGAGACCTGCCGAAGTGATCCCAAACCTACCGCAGGAATGTGGCTTTCCACCCAGTTTGTAGAGGGATGAATGCTATCCCACATGATCAGACCTCGACTAAGAAGCTGAAGAATTGATAAATATTGTTACCACAAGAAAGAAACCACAAAGACCACTGACAAGATTTCAAAATTGTTATAAGCGTCAATGGTGAAATAAGAAGATAAAACTCTTTTTCTGTCTGTAACTGAGAGGGCATTAACCGTGGGGATTTAATTTCCTTCCCTTTCCCATTACAAAGCTATTTTTTTCATTTTCGTATTCGGCGAATGGAGGAAGTAACTGATCCTTTGTCGAGCATTTTGCGCAAGAGTTCTGTTTGTTCTTCACCAAAACATTCCAGGAACCTCTAAAACACACTACTTCCGGGAGACAATATAGCTTGAGTCTGAAAATAACTTAAGAGATTATCTTTATAATGAGGTATATGCGAAGTGTCAGTCTCTTGGCTTTATCATCTCGTAGTATAACTTAAAGCAACTCCTAATAAATCTGAACCTAGTTTCCTCATCATCATAACAATCGTCGGTAGATAAAGCTTAAGGATTTAACACATCGAAACATTCTCCATAGAAATGCTAACGATTACAGCAACAGTGATCCCAGCGATCACTAGGAAATCAAGCTTTAGGGTTTTCAGAATTTACAACTGTGTTGGCGAGCTTAGTGGTGAAAGGTACAATGCAGTTGGCCGTGCGTGCTAAAGGTAGTACCTTGAGCGTAAGATCGCACGGTCGAACACTATCAAATTTTAGCGGATTGATGGGTTACTAACATTTTTTATATATATAGGGATTCGCCGCGCGCGCTTTATACACAGCGAGCTCTGCTATTACACCTTACCCGGAGCAAGAGGAAATCTGGACGAATAAAATCCAACAGGACCTGAGTGTCGGGAGCGTCAAACCATGCTGCGACAGATCTAAGAGGGAAGTGTCTCTCATTAACCGACATATGGAATCTTGTTACGATATTTGTACATCTTGGAGTTAAAACACTGACAAAACAAGTTAATCCCCAGCTGACCATAGCGATTAAAATTCAGTTCTTGGACAAATTGGCGACCAGCTGGTCGAAACTTTTGGAACCTTTTTTCTAGATTTAACACCAAATTCTTAGCACTAATTGATAAAAATTATACGGTATTCTTTTCAGAGAAATAGCTTTTAGATAGTAATTTACGTGTTTTTCGTCTTCATAAACATCAGTCCTAGAGCAAGAGTAGCACCAGGTCCCGTCACATTGATATTCACGCTATCACCTTCCTACGTGACAAAAAACAAAAAAAACTTACTTCAAAGACAACAGAACGTTTTTCTTATGAGTATCCTGAAACTGAAATCAAAACCTAAACCAAAACCAAACTAATTGCAGCGGTCACCCACGACGAAGAAAAATATTACAAAGAGTTAGAAATTTGAAGTTTTAAACGAGGGCTTATCAGAGAAGGAAGCTCCTATAAGAGCGTTCACGATAGATACAAATCCCTCCGCTAGGTCTGAAAAATTTTGCCCTGCCTTTTACCTAATTCATGATATCTTTGCAAAAAGAAAACATTGAATTATGTGCAATCACCTTGATTTGATAGCTTGGAGACTTGAACTTTTCTTTTTGCGTTCCAGTCTTCAGAGAGAAAAGAAATTGAAGTGAATATCTGCGTTTAATAGATGTAAAAAACAAACAACAAACAAACCCAATGACAACTACAACAAGAGATACAACTTTCTTAAGTAAAACTGGAAAGGTACACTGAAATCTTGATTACATAACAGGAGGTTGTCAACTTTTCATAAATTAATATGTTTAAAAAACAAAAGTAAGCTAAATTCATAACAAAATCAGTCTAACCCATTTATTTACAACAATAGGTATCATTTTACTAAGCTGACCTGAGGTTTGGTTTGTCCACCGACCATGTAGTGATACAACTGGTCAGCAATCTTAAGGTCCACCACACTGGCTGCTTCGTTCCCGTGCTGAAGACACACACAAACATTTCAAATATTAAGAAATATGTGCGCTTTCGTCTTATCACGAGTGAGGGACAAAGAAAAAATTCTGAGTCCCTACAAGGCTCGCACCTCAGAAGTTCCGATTTGGTCTCATCAACTGAGTTGATAATGTAAATTTACCACCTTAAAGAGTTTCTAAAGCTACCAACCTAGTTGATAAAACCAAATTATCCTGAATAACAAGTGGATTGGGTATAAGTTAAAACCAACAACCAGACAAACACTTTACACAACTTCCTCCTCAAATCACATAACTTAATTAAGTAGAAAGCAGAAGAAATACCTCCAACATGACAAGTCCCAGAGCCAGACCAGCAGCAAGAGAATAAGATTCTCTATTCACAGCATTTTCCATTTCAGGACCGGGTGGTCTCCCTTTGGAGCGAGATTTTGTTAAAAGCAAATCAAAAATTGACTAAAGGAAAATATATTATATACTTATTGACAGAGTGAGAGGACCGAACAGGATAACATTTAGCTTTGGGTCATGACACGCGGACCGAGCACAGCATGATACGTGCCTCATGACTGAGAGCCAAATTTTTTCCCATCCGACACGACCTAACTAAGTAAACATGCATTTCATCATATGAACCTCATTTATCTAAGGAACAGACTACACCATTGAATTGAAAAAATGAGTAAAATCCATCAGTTCGTCACCTATCTCAGAAAGAAGCACCTCTGCCATTCGTCTCTGTGCGGTGCCTTGGTATAACAGACCCACTCCTAATATGGCGGCTACCTGTGCTGAATGATGCAGATCAAGCTCTGCTGATGTTGGAGGCAATAGGGCGTCGATATGAATGCTCAGCATTTTAGTGATGGTCACGTCCATTGTTCCTCGCCTGCAGGTCAAATATAACATTCATTAAACTACGCACAGGTTTCGAAATAGTTTGCAGTAGGATGGACTACTTACTTAGCAGCTGCCGTGCCAAGCAAAAGCGCGACGGTTGTAAGTTCGTGTCCCTAGTGGAGAAAAGAAAGTACACATTAAATTACCAACCCAGCAACAAATTCTTCTATTCTTCTATAATTATTCTATTATTAAATGGTTTGAATGAAGCCGTATAGTGTCATCGTCCAGATTAGGGCAGTCTTGGAAATAATTTCTAGCCAGGTAGGGTAGTAAGTAACTTGCACATTTGACTGGCAGACGACGTCGCGCATAATCTGGTGACGACGTCTACTCGATGATGATATTTCGTTGTTCAGCATCATGTTATATTTGTAATTCTATTTGGAAAGATGCGTATGAATTTGGAGTTTTCCCTTTAGATCCTTCCTCATTAAACAAATGTGGCGTGCGTTGAGGTCTGTCATTTCGGTGGCATTTGAAATTTCAGTCAAAAGTTGCGATTTAAAGATACTGAAGCCTACCAGGAGAGGATGAGAATGAACTACGTGACATTCTGTGAAATTTTGACGGCTACTTTAGTCATTTTACCATTTTCCATTTCGGTTTGAACCCGTTGTTGGCCAAACTGCTGACCGAAAAATTATCACCCACTATCATACGCTCGTACAAACGGCAAAAACTATCATCAAGTATCATGTCGAATTTGAACTTGTCCAAATTACATGATAGTTTTACATTATCGAGTTTTCCCTCGACATCGGTGCTGTTGTCAAGTTTTACTTTCAAATGTATCGGCGAACGATTTGAGTCTTACCTAACAATTACTTTTGCCAAAGCAAATGTGCGAGCAACGTTGCGGCCTAACGAGACAATCGAAAAAAGGCTCGAATAAAATTGAAAAGTCATTGATGTATACAACGAAAAAAAAACCATCTTTAAAGATTTTTGAAAAAAACCTTTTTTATTTATAACTGAATCTGTCTGAATCTAATCTTAACATTTAAATAAACTGTCCGCGTTTTTCTTTGCTTTCAATGAACCAAAATGTAACCAATGGAAGTTCGTGTTCAAACGCGCGTGATAGTTGAAACTATCACCAACAATCATGACCGTTTGGACGAGGCTTTAAAGTCTGTCTGCTAATCTGCGCTTCATTCTCGAAATTCATAAAGAGAGGGCTTAATACGGACATTCTGTCTGGCAATCGCAGTACCTGCATTTGTCGCAAGACAGCAATTTGTGTCTTCACCTGTTGTGCCTTACCAGGTCTTACCTTTCACAAGCAGTCCAGTATGTTTATTGTGTGTGACATGAAGTTATGTTGTTACCTACAGTATCTTATAAGTTCTCACCTTACACAAATAGTCATGTAGGTTCATGTGAGACAAATTTTTAAGGTGGCCATTGAGTCCAAGAGCCATAAGGAAACCAGCGTGTTCTTCTGATTGTTGATTGGTTTTCGGTTTGTTGTAAACGATCCAGGTACTATCGATCTATTAAAGCACATAAAGAATAAAAAGGACTTGAACAAATTTCCTTCATCAAGACTTTGGAATGCGGTTGGATTGGATATCTGTATATCCCGGAAGAAGTGAAGGCAACAGATACTTATACGAAACTTTTCTGAGGGAATTCAGTAACGACTATTCAAGTGATTGTAGTAAATTGTGACAGCAAATCTATTCTCCCCCTGGCCCGTTTGAATCAAGCCTCCTCTTGGCTGTAATCGGTCCAATAAGAGTAAGGTCGACGCAAAAGATATGCAAAATAATTCTCAGAATTTCCGACTCTTATTTCATGATCTTGTTAACTCGTAAGACACTGACGCATTGTTTCAATTTTGAAACATAATACCAGATCTGGGTCGCTATTTTGTATTTTTGAGCAAGAGATTTCATTTCACAAATCCAAATGCATCCTCTTCCTGAGGATGTAAAAGTGCACTAACAAACTGTGACGCGGTCAAATATCCCCGAGCAGGAGACGCAGTACTATCTTTAACCCTTAGTAGCCTAACATCAGTATCCATATTCTCTATACTCTTCTCTATACATTTTATTTGAGACTGACAAGGAGAATTCAGTTAACAATCAAAAGCTTCTTAGGTTGCTGATCATTTCCTCGTTATCACGATCTCAATGACTGATTAAGCAGTAGCACTGTAAGGAGAAATTAAATACTGGTCACTTTTAGGGTTAGCTGTATGCTAAGAGGTCAGGCTTAATTCTGGAAGAATGAACCAGTTACGTATCACCTGCTCTTCCAATTGGCACACTGATCCGTCCTGTTCGAACTAAATAAAGACAACTACTGTCGGTCTTCACACCTGTGATATTCCTTGTGCAATCCTGAGTCCCGTAGCTACTCCGTTATGGAATAGCGGCCACATCTTCATGTCTGCTGGAGTTTCCACGTGTTCCAAACCAACCGTGGTATTCCTAGAATTTATAATGATAATTGAACTTAGTGGAGTGCAATTTGGTCTTTGGTAACCCTACGCAATTACTGAAATCATTTCAAAACCGAACGAGCGCATAGCGTGAGTTTGATTTGAAATCACAACTGTGATTTTAGACTGAAATTACACGACACGAAGTGCAGTTATCACTAACTAATACAAGACAGCTCACCTAGGCGGGGCCCGTCCTGTCAAATCCAGTGGTGGAATTGGAATAGTTTCGGTCAGTACTGGTCGAGAGGTGGCCATTGTAAACATCCCTCTTCAAAAGAAAATAGATTTCATGTGAACACAACGATCCTACGGCGATACCTCCGAACTTTAACGCACTAAACATTACGTCACCGCTTTTTTCACAAATAACTCAACGCAGGTCACAGATAAGACAAAATACGACGAGCAAAAATTTTCCACACCTTCCGACGGGTAACGCCATGGTTCTCTTGCACATCAAAAGTAAACGATTTTCTTGTTCCTGAATAAAGTCATGGTCACTGAAAATGAAATTGAATCGTGCCAGTATTAGTGTATTTGACTGAGGCTGTGGTCTCTTACCCAGTCCTAAGATAAGTGCCATGTTTAGCGATCTATTTTGCGTTCAGCTCTTCATAGTTAAAACAAAATTAAGCGGGAAAAAAAAAACAGGAAATCTGGCACATCCAACATAAAAAGACCTCCACACGAGATGACATTGAAACCTGGCGATACGACACGGGAATATGTTGTGATAACAGTGCGACGTGGAGCCGGGATTCTTGAGAGAATCTTTTGCCCTGATAGTCTCTGGAATAAGGAGCAATTTGAATTTGAGCGTTCGATTGCAGAGACCAAATAAGACACAATGACTTGTTTAAGAAGAAATACGAATGAAGCAGTTTGTCGTGAAGATTAATGCCCTGTAGCCTGCGGGGAAGGCACTCCGCGAGAACGACAGTAAAACACGCGCGAGAGATCAAACACTCGGGAAAAATCTCCCGCTGACCTTTGCGCGCATGACTTCTCCCTCGCACGTATCAGTTGAATCACTCGCATCAGGTTAAATAGAGGGTCTGCTGTGACGGCTAAATTACCAAGAGAGTCTACACCGTCAAAGATAAATAGCAGAACAAAATTAGCAGACCCACACCGGACAGAGGAAAACGGCTTTTCAACTCTATATTACACATGCAAAAGTCATATTAGACAGGCAAGTGTGGAATTGGCACACAGCACTCATAGTGTCGCGACTGTGACATCTGACAATGACACAATGCAGCCAGATTGATATATGAAAGTTTAATATGACATTGAAAATCGAGAGTTATGTCGATATGCGACAATTATACATACCTAACATCAGGCTTCTGTAGAACATTCACTGTGACAGGTTTGGAAGACTGGAGCACTCTTTTCATCTCCTGGACTCTCAAGTCTTTACCAAAGCGCAAGCGGAGTATCTGTAAAACAAGGCCAGTCGAATTCAAATATAGAAAACATTATGTGAGTCTGTACTGGAGCCAAGTGACTCACCCAGCCGGAGTTTATCCCAGTTTCTGCAGCATGAAGCGACTAGAAGTATAACCACTCCCCCCCTACTTGGGATGCTGGTCCATCGCAAGGTTACCCCCTGCATTTCGTCCGCTTTCCCAGACAGTAAGCCCGTACCCATTCATACTCCTGGGTAGAGAGAGGCACTGTGAGAATAAAGTCTTTTGCCCAAGAACACAACACAGCAACTCGGCTTCGTCTCAACTGGAACCAGGTAGTTTTGACCCGGAGTTCAGCGCGTTAATCGCTGGGCCACCGCGTCTTCGCACATGATGCACGTGAAACATAAAAATACCAGAGATTATAGCTAAACATAACATCCTCACCTCGTCATCTATATTAAATCCGTCATCTATTTCTCCATCTTTCAGTGTTGCTTTCTACATGACAAAAAGACATAAATTTACTGTAGCACTTAAGTATGACACTATCTCTCTTTTAAAGCGAGGAATTTGCAAGAAAAAGTAACTTGCTGACAAAATTAACTCAAAGAAGCTGCGTCAAAGAATTTTAAGGAAATTGTTGAATGAGGAACTTTCAATATTACCTTCTGATTAAGGGAAACTACAGAAAATTAGCATGATAGACAGAGGAACACCAAAGAGGCAACAACAAGCCAAAAAGAAAAATACAAATTCAGTTAAAATTGCGACTTAAAACTCAATGACTATGGAAAAATCGAAAGTTACTGCAGCAATTGGTCTAAAAGTGTCCAGATACCTTCAGAGGGATGTAAGTATTTAGTTTTTTTGCATCTGTCATTAGCATGGAGGCAAGATCTTCACGGCCTAAAGTAGGAAAAAATAATTAATGAAATCTTCACTAGCTGAATAAC